TGGCATAGTCTTCTTGCTATAATAACTTCGATGCGGAAAGTGGGTTACTATGATACGAGGCGATGAGATAGCAACTGCGCACATTATAGGTACATTAGGCAAACGTAGTCATACAATGTTTGTTAATATTTTAGCAAATTATTTTCAAATTCCCATATTTCAAACCAACAACGAACACGCTCATAGTTAAAACAATTGCGAATTAAAAATCCCATCTGAGATAGTCATAAAGGGATCTGAATGAAGTTGCCCAAGATCCTGTGTGTTGCAAGCAGCTCCTCTCTGCCTGTGTTGGCCAGGCCGTGGTATTCGCACCATTTCTATGAACAATATGGCGCGGGTTGCACATCGCATTGTCGCGTGCTATGGTTCCCGCGCACAGTTCCCGTGAGACTCGTGACGTACAAATGGAGACGTTTAGGGTTTCCAAACTTGATACCGTTATCGCTACTGCATTTATTTTAATACAGCTACAGGAGAGGAAGTTACAGTTATCATTTTATAACAGAAAACCTTCTGTTCCAATCCATAATCATGTAATAGAAATATTTATAAATCAGGAGGAGGGTGTCCACCTGATTTTTAACCTTCCTTTAACAAATCTTGGATTAATTAAAACCTTTAAAAAGACAACCCTACCCTCTGAATGCTAAACCTCAAAGACTGACATCAAATAAACGTCAGGAGGTTCGATACTCCTCCAGTGAGGGAGTAACGAGTACAGATGTAAGTGGAACTCATTTCCGTGACTTTGTAGCGGTGGGAAGTGTATGACAAACTCAGTTTGGATCAAACACGGTGTCTAATGCAGGTGCGGTACTGAGAGTGACACTTTTAAAGATTTTCTTATAACCCTCACTGGTGTTTATACTTAGAATTTCATGGTTTAATGATAAACTTTAATTTTAAATCAAATATAACATCTTTGATGGCTTAATTCTGCATAAAAAGCCTATTCCACACGAGCATACTAGGTGTTTATCTATCAGTAGCGATTATCATAGATATCTTTGCAAATTGTAACCAATTACGACGGTTTGACATATTTATGAAGAACCAACATTTCCGTAGTCACTCTAAGTAATTATTCGCAGAAATTTCTATTACCAGACTCAACATGAAATTGAAACGGACACCGCTGGCTATGATATTATTGTCGTATATTAATTCAGCCATCTTCACGTATATTGTAAGTTATAATTACGCTTATTGTTGCATTATTACATCATGTCACTTTCTTTGTATAATGTCTAGATGTGGAGATAGCACACGTTATGTAGTGAATGCACCTTACTGCTAAGTTTGATGCACTTAAGTGATTAAGTTGTGCTCTAAAACAATAGTGTTCGTACTTATTATAAGCTGTTAAACGAAGTGGTTAGCGGGCTACGAAAACTGCGGGTAACTGATATTTTGTTTAATCAGTAATATAGATTGTAAGATAATATTGGTTGCGTTTCTATTGCAGTTAAATTAAAAGTTTCGATTACTTTATTAATCTCTTGTTTAAATACTTCCAAGTTTGTATTGTCTTTAATCGCTCACATACGCTTGGTACGGTTTATACATAAACTGTATAGATGTATCCGAATGACAATTGGTTGATTCGATCTTGGTTTTACCAATAGCTACCCATCCTTACATCACGGAGTCATTAAAATTCATATTTTTTTAAACTAATAATTTTAAAAATGTTCTTAGGTACTACAGTAATTGAATAATCCATCTCCGCTAGTTTCGTAGCCACAACTTAGTTACAATTACAATGTACCCGTACACGACACGCTGTCCCGTCAAGTCGACAATACACAAACACACACACACACACACATACGTCACGTCAAACACGTCACACATTTCATCTAGTTAATGAAGTGTTGCTATTATTATGGAATATTTGATATAATCCTTCGGAAATTGTTCTGAAAGACGATTGAGAATGACAAATTCTACAGAATTATATTGTGCAAGGTATAAATTGACATTATGTTTTAATATTAATATTTTAGTGCACTTTTGAATTAGTTTTTGAAAGCAAGTTACAAATTGAAACTAGTAATTAATAAATCACTACATTTTAATAAGTTGGTGAAAATTAAAAATAAAAAGCAATATATTAGTACCAATCAGATACTGTATTTAATCAAGTTACTATACTCCCACCAAGTCGCGGAGAACCTAACGTGTTACCGGGGCTCCGGATCGACGTGCAGGAGAAGGAACGGCATGGTTTTTAGTCAGTAAGAGTCTGACAGTCCCTCCCGCGTCACCCAGGTGGGAGTAGACATTCGACGATTTTCCCCCTTTAAAAAAAATACTCCCACCAAATTGAAAACTATAATAATACGAATAAATAAATTGTAGCTACATACACACAAACATTAGCTAGGTAAAGAGAAAACTAACACATTACATTCTATTCTATTGTTTGTCCAAAAAAAGTCAATGAAAGTTTAATTTCGTCTAAATATCTTACATAGGTACGTCTTTATGTTGCTCTGACCTGTTTGTTCACAAGCTGTGAAACACAGCATTTAGCATAATCCACCACAGCGCACAGTTGTGTAAGCAGAGCTCTCGGAGAGTGCACTCATGAGGAGTAACTCCTAATTACCTGATAAGCCAAGTTACACGCATCGGTAACTAATTATTTATGTGTTCAGCCTTCGTTAATTTATTGCTGTGCTCATGACTTCATTATTTATAAAGGGCATCCTAATCTCCATTTTCATTAGCTTCTGGTTTTCCGGTATATGAGACACAATAGAAAACATATGAAAGAAAGAAAAATAATTTATTCGCCATGTTGCATCTTGCGTAGAAACAAATGTTTTCCAGGGAAATAAGCCAACATAACATAAAATAACGTCACGCCTTTTAGTTTAGAAGACTTAATTATTACCTTTGTCCCCGAATTGATTCCAAGACCACTTGCTTGGCAGTCCAATTATGTCTACCAAAGACCTAAAAGTGTACATTCTATTAAAGATTCCTTAATATTTCATCGCAAACCATGTGTTTAATGCGTGTGTTTAATATTGTGACTGCTAAAATAAGTACATATTTTATTTTATTTCGGTCACTCCAATTAAATTTACTATTACATTATTATACAGTGAACCACATAATGGAATCTTAATTACAAGAATAGACCTTCTGTACCACATTACCTCGTACTACAGTAAAGTCCCATAACTATACAAATCACCATGGTTGCCACATCAGACCCTGACACTGTTAGCTATGGTCCTCGTAAGACCATGAGGCAGTACTTAAGGAAGAATGTTAATCTATATTGCCATCATCAACTGAGACGCCACTGTAGTCTGGTTGATGGTATAGATGGTCCATGATTTTATCACCAATGATACATCTCCAAGAACATTACTAGCAACTACTGGTTTGTCTCGTTGGTTTAATAGTCGCTCTAAAGTCTCGTTAAATGTCTCTAATAATACACTTAGTACTCAAAAGCACACGCAAAAAGCCAAAAAGTATCACATTTCATCTCTACCTACTTCTTACTCCATAAAAGTTGTCCTATATTGCATCAAACTCGGTCACCCATCCTACAACCGGCCTGGATTCAGGCGCCTTAACCTGGTTACATCATACAAATGACATGTTTAACAAAAAGCGAATAAGTACATGTCCCCCGGCTTTCTCCGCAGAGGTCAATAGTCACTGCAGATGAGCGCCAGGGGTTACGTCATCACGTCATTATGAGTATGACTTCTATGGACGCGGATATGTCACTGGTAATATCTTCCGGAGTTTAAAATTTGATTGCGACAATCTGCAATATATGTGAATGTTGATGAAGTGTCGAGTCACGAGGAATGTGTCTCCTGGGCATTGTGTAACATGCTAAAGGGGTATTACCTAGTACTGGTATTAGGATGGTATGGGTTGATCTGTTCCAAGTAGATTGGAGAAACCGATAGCGATACTCAATGTATTGTCGTAAGAATGAAGCAACACGGTTTAGTCCTGATCCAAGGTATGCGTGTCATTACGAAGTTATATGTAAATTAATTGAAAGTTGAAACATCCAAACGTTGGGAGATAACATCAGAGTCCGTGAAAGTACAAACACAACGTACTTAATGTACTGGGTATGTAATGTATGTACATACGCAGGTACTTCAAGTTTACGGCGCACGCGGACAGACTACCACATTTCTTACTAGATAATCTGTGGCTGGAGGATTTCGACCGCGCATGCGTGATCACCATACTAACTCTGACATTATGAGTCATTTTCAATGAAATTCGAACATTGTTTACATACGCACGCGGTCCAATTATGTCCACAGTTGCTTAAATTGACCAAATGTAGACACAACAAGGTTTTCGAAAAGTGAAACTTTTCCGTTTATTTACTACTTACGCGTAGGTATGTCAAAGTCACAGGACGTTGACTGTTAAGTATCTATTAATCAGTCCTAAAATCGGTCAAGTTCAGCCCACAGCTGGAAAGAAACTACTAATTGTTTGACTCGATGAATTTAATCCTAAGCCTAGAAAAGACAGTAACAAAGCGGTCACTGAGCTTACCACACTAATTTATGTTAACAAGATAGTGAGAGCAATTAAACCTTCAAGGTTTGCTTCTGTTTGGCAACAAAACCGCGTCATTTAAATCAATTGCCTGTGGAGTCATTTGTCGCGAATTCGCGAGGAGTAGTAGATTGCGGTGTGGCAACAGGGCGATCAGCGCGGTGGGAAAGTGTGGCAACACCGCGTCGTTAGAATGAGGGTACATTGTCTTGTGGCACAAAGTGACACACGTCCACTGATGGCTCTCCTTGGAGTGTTCACACCTCCTGCCATTCTATAATTATTGTCTTTTTATAATTTTACTTGCGATGCTAATGCGGGTTTCTGGAAAGCTGTACATAAATGATAATACAGATTCTAATGCAATAGAATGTCATGAAATTTTATTGAATGTTGGTTGTCTCTTGATGGTACCTAATGTTCCTCTTTTATTGTTCCAGCTGGTACCAGCGCTGGTGTTGCTGTCGCTGGCTGCAGCCACCCCCCGCAAGACGTACAAGCGTGAAGGTAAGCCACCGTCCGACCACTCGACTAACACAGACCCTGGCCTCTGTCATGAACCAAGATTGTCACGTAGCACTAAACTTGTTTTATGATCTTGACTTGTGATATGTTGATGAAGAGTTTATATCAAACCAACTTACATATTTTATTGTAACTAAGAATGTTGGCACAAACAAACAAATGCTTTGCCAAGATTTATCATTCTGTAGCATAAATTGTTGTGTTCATGACAGAGGCTCTACGAAGTATTACTTACAATACGAAATAAAAGCACCAATCCCTTTGTTCGCAGCGCCCCTGAGCTCGTCATACCTGCCTCCCTCGCGAGGTGGTGGCGGCCACGGGGGCGGTGGACACGGCGGCGGTGGACATGGAGGCCATGGAGGTGGCAGACCTTCATCCTCATACGGTGCTCCCAGGCCTTCCAGCAGTTATGGACCTCCTAAACCTAGCTACGGACCACCGAAACCCTCGAGCAGCTACGGACCCCCACCATCATCAAGCTATGGACCCCCATCCCAAAGCTACGGACCTCCTCCATCCAAACCTTCCAGCTCCTACGGACCTCCACCATCTAAGCCATCGAGTTCCTACGGCCCACCTCCATCCAAACCCTCAAGCTCTTATGGAGCCCCAGCAAGACCTCCAGCGACAAGCTACGGAGTACCAACTGGACCTTCTACAACATATGGCGCTCCTAAACCATCCAAACCCTCGAGCTCATATGGTGCTCCCTCCAGCTCATACGGAGCACCCTCACCACCGTCCAGCTCGTACGGCGCCCCGTCTCCTCCTTCAAGTTCATACGGTGCTCCCTCATCTGCCCCGTCCAGCTCATACGGTGCTCCCTCATCTGCCCCGTCTAGCTCATACGGTGCTCCCTCATCTCCCCCGTCTAGCTCATACGGTGCACCATCTCCTCCTTCCAGCTCCTATGGCGCACCTTCTTCCGCCCCATCTAGCTCATACGGTGCACCATCTCCACCTTCCAGCTCCTACGGCGCACCAGCCTCTCCTCCTTCTAGTTCTTATGGCGCCCCTGCGTCTCCTCCATCCTCGTCTTACGGTGCCCCAGCGTCTCCTCCATCCTCATCGTACGGTGCTCCCGCGGCCGCTCCATCCTCATCTTATGGTGCTCCCCCCTCCTCGTCCTATGGTGCTCCAGCATCTCCCCCGTCATCTTCTTACGGAGCTCCCTCATCTGGTGGTAGCAGCGGAGGCTTCAGCAGCAGCGGTTTTGGCAGCAGTGGTTTTGGAAGCAGCGGTTTTGGAGGCAGCAGTTTCGGCTCTAGTGCGCCCTCGTCAAGCTATGGAGCTCCATCCAGTTCTTACGGAGCACCCGCGGCACCTTCAAGCAGTTATGGTGCTCCTAGCAGCGGTGGCGGCGGCGGCCATGGCTCAAGCGGTGGTTACTCTTCTGGCGGATCCGGTGGATACTCCTCGAGCGGTTCCGGTGGTTATTCGTCAGGAGGGTCTGGTTTCGGTGGTGGCCACTCTAGCGGCGGTTCTGGCGGCCATGGTGGTAGTTCAGGAGGTTACTCATCCGGCGGAGGTGGTGGATACTCCTCTGGAGGCAGCGGTGAATACCCGTCAGCTGGTGGCTCTGGAGGATACTCCTCGGGAGGTGGATATTCATCCGGGGGCTCATCTGGTTTTGGAGGCGGTCACTCATCAGGAGGTGGTGGAGTGCCGGCTACCATCAGCCAGAGCTACGACTCCAACGGTGGCTACGTGTACTAGAGCCTGCAGGCTGCTGCTCTCCTAGTACTCGTATACAATAGTCAATTGTTAAGTTATCACACATCAGTATTGATGACGTTGCGAATGTCACAAATTAGGCTTATATGTAATCAGCATGTAGGCTTTGAATAAAACCCTGTATGTATTAGATATTACAAAATGGCGAATTTGATGGAATGTGTAAAGCTCTCTGTTGAGCGTGGAAGTCTATAATAGTAATGGACAGGACAGACACTAACTAACTAATCTTTGAAGTCAAGAAGAACAATACACGTTAGTAAGATGGAACATATTCTGTCTAATCTCAAAATTGTGATCTACAATCGGAGGACGAAGTATTACGTACTCGTGTAGTGGTGCTTACCGAGTAAGCGACGCTTCAAGTATTAACATTAACTTAATTTGTAATTAATGTAATGAAATTGTACAAAAATTTAGTTTTAAGCTCTCAATGAATAATTATACTTTTTGTATAAATTAAACTTTTGTAAATATTAAATCATTTTGTTTTAATTAACGACGTCCCTGAGAAGGTTTTAAAATAACTAGGTAATTAGATTTATCTTGAAATATTGAAACTTCGACAAGAATGCTGCGACTACGACTACAACTGTAATAGATACTAACTTATCAGAAAGCATGTCGGTGAATTTATTTAGTAGGTAATATATAGTTCTTTCACCTATATCGAGAAATAAGTACTCGTTACATGAATCCGTGAACAATGCACGGTTGGTGCGGTGGCTGGGCAACCGGCTGCCGTGCAACGTGTCACGGGTTCGATTCCCGCACGGAACAACACTTTGTGAGATCCACAGATTGTTGTTTCGGGTCTGGGTGTCATTGTGTATGTGAACTTGTATGTTTGAAAACGCACCCACGACACAGGAGAAAATCCTAGTGGGGCAACGTTATTTTAAAAAAAGAAAAATAAATAGTGACCTAGTTCTAGGAATTTAGAACTTAGTATACTTACTTTTAATTTTATTCACAGGAGATGAGTGTTGAGAAGGAGTACCTTCTAGAGAAAGGAATAAGCATATAGTTCGAATGAGACTATAGACTTGAGAGGATGTACACAAAATAAAGTGAAGTCAACATGCTATATGTTTTATTTGATGTCGCCGGAGCGACAGCGGAATTCACAACGTTACACATATTTTTACACATTTTTTCATTTTCAAAATATTCAACAAGAACTAGGAATAAGTCAATAGTAGGTATATCTACTAGCTAACAGTGGGGAGTCGCTCCCTGACCCTCTGCTATTTAATCATAACTTAATAAACATCTAATTAAGTACATTGTTCAGAAACAGAACTATAGTTCGTTACAAATAGGTTTTATATGCGACTTCTCAAAAACAACTACAAAAAGTCTAAAATAAACAAAGATAAATCTAGACAAACGTGTATACTGAACATATTTGTGCTGTGATTGCAAAAAGTATAACAAATGCATAGAATATGTCTCTATAACAACATCAATATATATAGTTATATATATATAGACCTGTATATAGATCAGGAAGCGTCTCCGAAGAACAACAACGATACCTATGTCTACACTTACTCTATGATATGTACGTTCCACACTAAACTCTATGATATGTATAGTTACGTAAGTCACATACAGAATGATATGTCTCAAGTTCATAGTCTTAGCAAAGGTTAGGCTGTATCACATCATATACATACATATATCTTTATATATTCGCAACGTATCGTAAACATTTCCATAACATGTAAACTTTGTTATCAAAAACAATTTGAAAGCTTTGTAAGGTATCAAATGTGGCAACTGTTTATCTACAATATAATATACACAAAGTGATATGTAACATTAGTCTATACTTAGTAAACACGTACGGTTTGCACACAAAAGGATAAAAGTTGCCAAAGTTGACAGTATCATCTAATGGCAAGGTACAACTTTATTGGAATACTTAGAAACAAGCTTTAAACATGGACATATAAACACGCATATATAAGAGATACATGAGTCGTCCGGTAGTCCGGGGCAGACACGACAATACTGAGAACACCGATACACATATAATTTCAAAAATACCAATTATTATATTACTAGTAGCGACGCTCGTACCGCGTCGTAGTGTTAGAAAGCTCTTTCTTTACCGTATTACTTGTCCCTGTATATTATATACAGAGATACAATCAGTAACATATAACGTTATTCTTTATAACGTTACTCGGCATTTTGTTACCTTTTCTAATAATTCACCAGATTTTAGGCCCGTTGTATTGTTTATATAGCGTCGCGTGGATAGAATGATACTGTCTGCATAATAATTATTATATTCCTTTATACTTTGGTCTACATACACGTACAATACATAGGGTGCACTCGTCACGCAGCGCGACGGTGCCCACTCTGAACAATTATATATAATACTCATATATATATTTCTCTATACAACGTAAACATTTGCACTAGAAAACAAAGCTTATAAAATAATACTGCCGCTAACTCGTATTGATTACACTAGGTAAATATATTTTATATAATTGGTGCGGACTTCTGATATAAATCATTTATTTGTTTATAACGTACATAATGTAATGTCGGAGCGACCGCTGCACCGTGCTGTGCACAAGCACTGCACCATACTACACAGTACACACACACACTCACATGTCGCATGGTTGGTCACCTCCTCTACTACACGCACACACTTACACCGTGTCACTATAAGCACATAAACTCTGTGCTCCTCTCTACATTAATTGACTTAAATAAGGAATCGTCATCAATATAAATGATATATAATATACATATATAAACTCTCTAACAACGAATATAATTCACATCTTGATATGTATGAGTTGCAACACTTCGTAATATATTTCTTTATATTTTCACTACAAAATAATTCAGCTTAATTCATTTTTACATCAACTATTAAACATACATCTATTGCTTTATGCATTATTACTACACGATAATATATAATTCATTAAATATATTTATATCAGTTTGCTTGCGTCGTCATTACTCGTTCGTATATGTGTATGTAGCTAGGTATGTATGTATACATTTACAGAATGGTTCGTTTGTAGGAAGATACGGATGATATGTTTCATTTCGATCGTCTTGAGCATAACATTGTAGTCGTTATTTGCAAAAATACTGAAGTTTTCTGTTCCATACTTCGATGTAACGATCTTATCGAATTTAAAAGAAAAGTAAGAAATAGTAAAATTTTCGGAAAATATAACCCCGCTATGGAGTGAGCTCGTCATCGGTGGCGGCTCATGGCGGTGGCTAAGAGAACTAATAAGGGTACTTATCGTCTCAGAAAGCCGTTTGCTTGCCGAAGGGCTGCACGGGCGGGGGCGCGCTGCTGCTGCCGAACAGTGGGGTGGGCCCGTCGTTGGGGTCGTCCAGGTCGTCGTCGTCGGGCTCCAGCGCGGGGTTGATGCGGCCGCACTTCTCGTCGGGCCCCACCAGTGTGGAAGCAGCCCCGTACAGCCTACCTGGTACTCCTCCCAGCACCGACATCTGCTCGCCGGCTTCCGAAGGCTCGTCGACGCGACGAATGTCTTCAGGGATGTTCACAACACAGTTGAAGTAGTCGGACTCGGGGCTCAGGTAGCCGCCGTTGAACAGGAACCTGCGGAACACATCACACTTGACCGTCTACTCTCACTGCACACGAAAGGTTACACATTACTTATGATGGCCGCCCCCAGCTGCAGCTGACATTTGATAGGAAACGTATCATGTTCCGTGACTGCGCTGATTGCTTCCTAATTGTTTGAAAGTCTAGCAATCATCGATAAGAAACATTTACCCGCCATTCATCGGTAAACATGTCATTACATCATTACATAGACTCAACGAGAAAAAGTTAATATTTATTGAAGACAGAATTAAACAAATAAAGTACAAAGATTAATTATCAATTTACGTAATTACGGGTCCGGATATTTCACGTAATATAATATTATCGTTTGGTACTTAGCCTTATATTATATTTTAGGTAGGACATAAAATAATTTAATAATCACCTTATGACCCCACCAGTCTCTTAGTATACCTCAATTTATGTCTTAATTACATACCAAGCTATAATATCTAATAAGTTACACGGTGGAATTTGACATTAATTGATTTTATATTGACCTGAATTCAAAAAGCAGTAATACTTGCCGTAGTGTGTATACTCGATGTCACTTTTTTTTTTTTTTTTTTTTTTAAGGGGGGAAAATCATCGAATGACTGCTCCCGCCCGGGTGAGGCGGAAGGGAGTGTCAGACTCTTACTGACTAAAAACCACCCCGTTCCTTCTCCTGCACGTCGAGCCGGAGCCCCGGTTACCCGTTAGGTTCTCCGCGACACTCGATGTCACTTAGGGAGGGCACTGTGTCTCTTGGTATTTAAAGTTACTTATTAAAAGATATCTTAGAGAATCTCACAGTAAATACATTTACATCACACAGATACAGAAGCAGTCTGAAGCTAAACAAACAATATAGTAGTAACATACAAGTCGTGAGCCACACTCACTTTCCATCCATTACAGATCTCCGACCATCACTGCTGATCACGAATGTTGTTTCCCGTATGACAATGATTTACTTACTGATTAACTACTGTTAACGATACCCAGAGGCCTATTAAACCTCTAGGCAAGTGTTTTTTTTATATATATTTGATGGGGCTGACGTTTGACCACTACCTCGCCTGATGGTAAGCGATGATGCGGCCTACGATGGGGCACTGTCGTCCCATGAGCAACCTATTCACTCGGGGCTTGAAGACACAGGTTAGTCCCTTCAGGAAACACAGACTCTGGCAAAGAATTATAGACATCCCTACCAGAATATCTAAGTAATTTTGAAACCAAAAACAAAAATTCTCAAAGTAGTACCAATCATATTACACAACACATTTCGTCTCCACTTCAAAATGAAGTAAACCAGACATATTAAACATTTTAAATGTGTGTTTGTTAATGTTTGAATGTTTGCTGTTAACATTCACATTACTGCTCACTGTTATATCATACCACTAAAAGCTAATGTTAAAAAATAATACGCTGTCACATAACAATAACATTACTATCCCACTGAATAACAATTTAATTTAAAAGCTTGTGTATTAAATCGTAAACAGAAATCGATATTTAATCGAGCCTCAGTCACTATCTAGCGGTACATTTGAGAAATTAAAATTACAAACAAGATGAATTAAATGTATTTCTACAAATCAGAAATTTTATGGTGTGTTGACTACACATCATTCATGATCTGTGTATGTGTCCTTTGTCATGTAAGATAAAGCATTTAATATTGCTTACTACTCCCGTGCCAGCTGTCCGGCGTGATGTTTTATACCCTATATATAGCCTTTCTCAATAAATAGATTATTCACAAAAGATATGATTCAATTCGAACTAGGAGTTCTGAAGATTAGCACGTTCAAGCAAACAAATGAAATCTTCAGTAAAATTCATACGAATTAATGTTCAAATTTTAGTTAGAAGTTAGTCATCAATAAACCTAGAAATACTAATGGCAGATGACCGCTACACAATGTTAACAACAGCATACACATTAATTGTGTAGGCACATAATATACATTTACATTATTACAAATATAATTATTTTCCAAAAACCGGATAGGCGGAGGTGCACGCTAATGTAAGATTTACTTTTTACTAGTTATATTGTATCTTATCGCATCGAGTCTTTTTTTGAGGACTCCCGAAACCGCTGCAACTCCTGTAAGCCAGGATCTCTACAGTAGATACAACAATGAATACACCGGAGCACTGAATCCGGCGCGTCCCAGGGACATGAATAACTGTAGTAAGATATAATAAGAGGAGAAGAAAAAAACACGATAGTTTCCACTTCAATCGCATCGAGCCTATTGTCATAGGTAAAGCCTAATATACAGAATAATTTAAACAAAAACGAGATACTTAAGTACACCTAGTCTCATAACATAACATAACAAAACATCACGCTGTTTATTCCCAAAAGGGTAGGCAGAGGTGCACATTGTCTTCGGCACTTAATACCACTATAGAGGTACAATGTAACACCCACTTTTCACTATTTATGTTATGAGTCCCATGTAATAGGGGGTGAGCCTATTGCCATATAGCGGGCACAATTCCAGATTCCGTGCTGCTACTGAGAATTTTTTTTAAACCCAGTAATACTTTGCCCGACCCGGGAATCGAACCCGAGACCCCTTGCCCGGCAGTCGCGACCACTCGTTTAACGAGGCAGTCAGTATATGTAGATAGTATAGTCGTAACCATTCACTACTTAATGTCTTCCTCGCAAGGTGTAAATTATTTGTGTAATATTTGAGAAGTCATTGCATACGATACTTTATAACAGTAATTATGCAATTACCTATTACTTGATTGTTATGTCTGTATTAATAATTATTGAATTTCTATGTATTCAACCGACTAGTTTTTAGACGTGAGATAGTCGATCTTACATAATTTGTTTAAAACTTTAAACCTATTGTTGTAATAAGGTAAATATTATAATCTTCAACATCTAAATTATACAAAAAGCGCCATCTAGTTTCTCCTTGGGAAGGTAACCGTGCTGGATGTCATTTGTTAATTTGTGTTTTTTTCTCTCTGCTTCATTGTCTTTGCATCGTATCATCGCATGGCGCCGAAATGTGTTTTCTAAGTTTCTACAATAAAGTGTCCATCTTTTATTTAAAGTAATTATGATAAAGAGTTCAGAGTCACATTGTAATCCTGCACTGTGTAGGTACTTATTAAAGTCAAAATTCCTTATTAAATACCCGAAAATTTAACGCAATACCTCGTGGTAGGCAGCCGCGTTTACATACGACTTATCAATAACTATTGAATAACTGCCTCTTTGGCCGAGTAGTCGCAAGTGCGACTCCGTGCAAGGGGTCTCGGGTTCGATTCCCGAATCGGGCAAAGTATTGCTGAGTTTAAAAAAAATCTCAGTAGTAGCACGGAGTCTGGAATTGTGCCCGGTGTATGGCAATAGGCTCACCCCCTATTACATTGTTACATGGTATGTATGTACAGTGGCATTAAATGCCGTTATGTGCACTTCTGCCTACCCTTTCGGCGTTATGTTATGTTATGTAATAATTGAATCAGCATTGTTCTTCCTCAATAACCCTGTTCTACAATCAGTACAAATCCCTTCAACAGCAGTTACATGTTATGGATCACGTAAGCTGTACAATATATGTTCAACCTAAATTTTCCTACTAACGTGAGCTCGCGACCGTACAAGCTCTCGACGTGAGGCTTTCACGTTAACGCTCACAACAGCATTACTAGCAATTCTTCTTACTAACATGCAAACATTTACCTTTCATTATATAGGATTAGTAACCAATAGAAATAATTAAATAGCGTGGGAAGCGCGCGTTTAAGTGTGGGAAAGCCATGTTTCGGCACGAATGGGCCGGCTCGACCGGAGTGATACCACTGCCGAGCAGAAGACCGACGTGAAACAACTTTGTATTGTGTATCGTCGTGAGATTAGGTTAATGGATGGCCAATTACCCTCCCAGCCTTCCCTTTCCCCAATCCCTGAATCCCCAACAATTCTCAAATTCCTAATCCCCAAAAGGCCGATAACGCACTTGTAATGCCTCTGGTGTTCGAGGTGTCCATGGGCGACGCTGATTGCTTACCATCAGGTGTACCGTCTGCTCGTTTACGGACTTATCCATAAAAAAAATCATTCGTATTGCGTATCTACAGACTCATGAAACTACTTCTTCCTGACATTTTTTATGATTCTAGACTGATTTTGCTGATTTTTTTGTTGTGTTTATTATTGTCAGGAGAAGGTTCTTATGACAGAAAAAAGCCCTGAAAATCCGATGGGAATGGGAGAAAACGGGATTGCGCGTACGAAGTCGCGGGCAGAAGCTAATATTACTATAAACATTACTATCTACTATACTCATCCAGTACACCATGGCACGGAATAGTAGAACTTACACGCACCTCTTAGAAGAATAGAACATGAGAAATTATTTGCCATGACGTCTTCCAAGAAGATCCTTCAATATAAATTACAAACATAAATAAATTGTCAAGTGCGGCGTGAACACGATGATGTAGCGACCCCATTATACCATCCCCTCGCTGTACACTCCGTTCCGAAAGGATGACCTTGTGACCTTAATATGGCGGCCGTCGTGTCGGTCGCGTCGGTCGTGCGACGGTGCGACGGTGCGACCCACCCGAACGTATGTAACGTGTGTGTCGGATGACAACGCACGGTGAGTTCAGGCAAGCAGAAGCTAGTAAGTTACACCTAATTGCAACTTTCATAAATGGACCTAATTACAACAACATAAAGTTGAAAATGTATTACGTACCCTATTATGAAACGAACGATTTCGACCGGGTTAAAATTATGATTTCAAGGTTATCGAAACAATGCTTGCCTGCACGGTTCTTATAATTTCAGTAATGTAAGAAAAAAGTAAACAAAATACCTTGTAGTTGACGACTGAGCTACAATAATACCTACCATCTATGAATACATTTACCGAATTGACTTGGCTAACTTCCAAAGGTAAAACATAGAAAGGGTTCAATAGAGTACATTAGCAAATTGATGTTTAAATAACAAACAGACTGACTAACAACATCCGAAGACCTATTTACTTGTTCGTAGCCTGAATACAAGTCGGATAAATAATTAATTCCGTCTGAGAGCCCCGGCCGCAACTTTGTCGAATATTTGATGAAACATTTGGCCCAACATTTCTATTATGAAGGCTCAACTCAAAAGGTTTTCCATCAAATAATATATTTGTGATGAAAGCTCGGCCCGACGCCACTCAGATAATATTTAACTTTCTGATTACATTGACAGATGCTTCCAACTAAAATTGATTGAAAGACTAAATTATATTGAACTGATTTTGAATTGACGTTTAGGTACCTATGTTATCTGTACCTGTGCTCAGATTAAACGAAGGTTAATTTTATTAAATACCTATGTCTGAAAATTACGTACTTGCTGATGATTGCTACAGTGTTGCACAGTTGTAACGTGTTTGTTTCTGGTTCCCTCTACTGCATTTGCTCGAATATGTAGTTATTATACTCTATTATTTTATTTCAATCATCTCATGATAAAAAAATTATAAACAGGAAAGAGTTCGCAACGACATTATAAACTGATATTTTACTGGTAACATTAAATGGAATTGAATCTAATAACAGAATCGATGTGTTGTATTACGGAGTGTCAGTAAACTCGACAGCAGTGGAGTTCCAGCCCTCAGACAAATTGAATCAATCAATTTGTGCGAACGATCGCTTTTACCCTGCTACTGTACTTTACGTATTCAAGCACTTCTCAATAAAATAACATTATCATAATTTCATCGCTCACTTATTCAGGATGTTTGTACCAAACATCTTATTTTCCGACATGACAGTTCAATGAGTAAAACAATTTGGAAAACAAAAGGCAATGTTTGTCAAAGTTCCAAAATTATTTATCCACTTAGGTGATCTGAAGAAAGTTTACCTTGTATGGCAAAAGACAGCTTTCTCAAAGTTTCGACATGCGTGTAAATTCACCAAATAAAAAAGATACTTTGAGTGACAGTGACCATTTGACATCAAGGACGACACATTGGGTACGATATCGAACTTTTGAGACAATTTTACAATCCCTGGATAATAAATAAATAAAAAAAGAACTTATAAGGTACTTACACTGACAGCCAGGAGATGAAAGCCAGCGTGAACAACGATAGTGCCATTGCCATGGTCCTGAAGGGGAACAGCTGCACCTCGTTCTCGGCATCCCAGCCAGGGTAGTGGATGAAGGCAGGCAGCCCCAGCAGCTTCTCACCGCCAGACAGCCGCACCAGCAGCGCCACTATGTACGCAGCGAGTGACCCGTACGTGTTGCAGTGCTTCTTGAAGTGGACCACCATCAGCAGTTGCGGGAACAGGATCACGTACACCAGGTCCGAGCACATCGACCTGCCGAACAATAGCCTGGATTAAAACACTTAGGTACCTACGTTTGTTGAATATTCATTGGGAATAGTATCAATATATCAAATGTCTATTTATGTCCAATATAATAAGGCCACATTCCACACTACCATATTTCCATAAATACCGCCACGCAATGTGTGGATAAAGTGTAAATGTTTGTATCAAGAAATTACTAAATTCATCAGAAATATATGTTCAGTGTTAACAAAAACAAGCTCATCATTGGAAGGTCATTAATATCCGCGACAGTTTAATGACTCTCGTTCCATGTATTCACTTTAAGCTCAGTATGTATGTAGTGGCAGTGGATGGTTGCGCCATGTTCCTTTCCATCACATCCTCGTCCCTGTGAGGGTAATTAGAGCGTCGGCCCTGGCAACATCACGACCCGCGGATTGCGCATCTACAGTTTATGATACCATCAAATGATGAATTGATGACTCGAACACCTTCAGCGTATAAATTATTACTTATACTAATAGCTGTTCCAATATAAATCGTGCACTCGTATCAATCGGTGCACATTGTGCAATATGAAAATTATGCGAAAATAGAGCAACTGCTCATGTTTGTAATTGATTATCATCAGCACTCGCGCGGACGCAACGATTTAATTCGGCACAGAGCGGGTTTAATTGCTCCGATGTTATCATATGAAACAAAGTAAAATTATCAGATTAACAATTTCGATTCGAATACAATGCGTAGATTTACATTATTTAGATTTTGAAGCAACGCGTACGCCTTGGTTTCACAACAAGTCTATTTTAAAAACAAACAAGCTCGAACATCCCCGCGGCACAGTAATATTAGCCGAGTTTAAATTTTCAATTCACCCCTACACGCCCTGCCGTGGGGTGGATTGGGGTTCAGTGCGCTGTAGACTACGGTGTGGCGTCCAATTTCGATGCAGGTGTGAGACGGATTCAATCGACCGTGTGCCGGGAGCACGCCGGATATACCTGTAGGGGGTAACCGGGTGAACGGGGTGCACAGGGCTGTGATGTTAAGCTGATTACATTTTTAATGGCCTTTTTAGAACTCAAGATTTTCAAAGGCTGTTTATGTTTTTTCTCTTTGGCTTTGTGAATAGGATTTTCTTTTGTAAATTTGTGTGCGGTCCATTAGGTACCCGTGCGACTTATTAATACACCGAAATGAAAATAAGAAACTACACAATACGGACATTTTACCATCATGGTGAGCATTGTTGACAACTTTCCCCAATGTACACATAATCAGAATTCCAGAATAAATTAAACATCCAATGAGCTGGGCAACCCTGTTCTCACGTGAGACTGGAGATGTGCTTGTAGGTAGTGTGCCGGTGTTAAGGATTAAGTTTCAATTAGCAGCCAGGCGGCGCCCGGTGCTGCTCTCAGACGTAATCCCTCGCAGGGTCTACACTGGCCTCCCATTTCAAACGTTTACTTAAGCTTGTTAGATCAAATCTCGAATGGAGAAAGGGTATTCCGATATATAGGTTGTTAGATTGTGTTACCTTGTAATTTGAGCGTATTTGTCTGCTAGAATACTGGGAATATGGAATACCTATAACGACAGAAATACTACACTTTGAAGGAGATGCTTGTTAAGAGATCAAGTCTCACGAACTCGGTACGTATATGGTGGTACTCAATAAGCACACCCAAGGCACACAACACAAAATATGTAGGATAAAACTAGCTTTTCTTAAATCTTTCTTTATAATGAACAGTCAATGGGCATGAAAATTTAAACTGTCACGTGTTTGTCTATTAATTGGGTAGTCAATAGCCAAACTTAGCAGGTCATAACGAACCTTATCACTACATAGTATAAAACAAAGTCACTATCCGCCGTCTATCTGTCGCTATGTATGCCTCTTCGCATCTTTGCATCTTAAAACTATGCAATAGATTTTGATGTGGTTTTATTTAATAGATAGACTGATTCTTAAGGAAGGTTTACATGTATAATGCATGTATATTGCACCCCTGCGAAGCCGGGGCGGGTCGGTAGTATTTGTATAAAAGAAAGAAAATCATCCAGTGTTTTATTGTCACTGAGCTAATCCCTAGGACCACCTATCCTCGAAGGTCCCTTGCATCATGTGCCCAATATAATGAGTCGTCATCAGCGCCATTATTTCAATAACGCTCGATTACCGATTACCATATATTTTCGGTATCACCATTAGCGCTCATCGACCGATGTGTGTCAATGGCCGACACGTAATGGTTCTGTGTAACACCGACGCCGACGTCTACTTCGTCATTATATACTTCTCACTATATATTTGCATATATCTTGAGAAATTTTTAGACTGTCAAGAGTTTATCTAGATCACAATATTTGCTGAAGGTTCCGAAGCTCTTGATTTCGATTATACAGCACGACAATTATATTCTAAGATAAGTAGATGATCGGGACAGTTGCAAGACATTATAGTACAGAGAAATATACCTCTAAGTTTCTTTTTGAGTAGGTATAACATTAATGGATTGCTCTCATTGTTTCCGTCAGAATGAACGGTTTAATACTTGCACATTCTCTAGAATCCAAGAAACGATCACCTGTGTGGTGTTAACCTGACAGTATAGTCAACGTTTACAGTCAGTAAGCAGAATGATTGTGCCGCGGCCGGCCGGGGCGAGCAGTCATTATTGATTTACCACCACAGCCACGCTAATACCTGGCACATAGCCATATATGTAGATAAGTTGTGTCTATCACCTGTGTTATGTACTACAGTACTACGCTTAAATCTAGTATATCAGATATTTTGTGTAAGTAAAGAACTACAGTAGCCAATGAAAACGGGTATTTGTATACTTATTGTAAGACACCTATTTAAGACGCTTATTTAAGACGCTTATTTAAGACGCCCGCTTCTCATGCATGAGGGTGCAGGTTCGAAACCTACAAACGGCAAGTACCAATGTGACTTTTTCCGAGTTATATGTACTTTCTAAGATTATTCAGACACCACTGACGAACGGTGAAGGAAAACATCGTGAGGAAACCTGGGCTTATAATTTCTAATTATAAGTTTGTAATCGCCAACCCGCATTGATCAAGCGTGGTGATTAATGCTCAAACCTTCTCCGTGTGAGAAGAGGCTTTGCTCAGCAGTGGGCATTTATAGGCTGATGATGATGATGATGATGATGATGATGATGATGATGTATACTTATTGTAGGTGCTTAGTTCAATCCTATCAGACACAACATGTTGTGCATAAGTAATAGAAAGACTCGTAATTTATTTGAAATTCATGCATAACTAGGCAGTGTCTAGGGTTGCCACCCGTACTTTATAATAAAGTATTGTACGTTATTTAAGGTAATTGTACTCTATACTTTATGAGAATAATAAAGTACACGAAAATACTTTATTTTTATTTATTTATTGATTTATTTTATTTTTGCAAACTTTATTTCTATTATAGTCGTGTGGCGACGCATGCCACATGTCAACGGATGACGTCACAAGAATCCTACATCGCACATGCAAAGTTTACAAGCGAATAAACACGGATAGAAATCTAAACTGTAGGGCAGAAAGCCTGCCAGGCACGATCACCTCGCCTGGTCGTAGGATCCTCCTTTTCCGATCTTAGGGAACTATACTCTCTGTTCCCTAAAGTCGTAAGTATTTTTCGGTAAACTTATCGATTCGATATCGATATTTATCGATTTATGTTGATATGTTGAATCGATAACTCGCCAGCGCCACTTAGACAATTTCTAGTAAAGATGCAATTGTTTAGTAAACGTACCTACTAATTTAATACAAACTGCAAAAAGCAATAAAGAATATATTTTTAAACATAATACTAAATTAAAAATAAATTGTACTTTATTTTTGTACTGTGTACTTTTTTTTCTTACCTATAATCGTCAATGTACTTTAAATACCAAAGAAAAAGGTGGCAACCCTAGCAGTGTCGCTAGATTAACAGCAAACATCTTATATGAAGAAAAGGTTTTGTCTTACAAACATCTTCATATTATTACTTCCCGAATTTCATACATTGTTGGTACATACGGGTAAATATTTCACTTCTGAAGATTGAATTGAAACACGTACCTATGTATACCGCATGTTATAAAACATTCTCGTCCAAGTCACAGTATAATAAAACATTCCACAATAAAACTGTAAAATTGTTTTTTTTTTCAATAATCGTTGCCCCGCTTGCCCCACACTAGAGTTGTCTCCCGTGTAGTGCGTGCGTTTACAAACATACAAGTTCAAATACACGTGACACCCAGTTTTATCGACTTATAACATTTCCCTGTAAATACGTCCTCACTCGTTCCTCAGATGGGAAGGAAAATTGTGAGTTTCCTGTGATGTGTGGCTGTGGAGGAGTGAGGATCAAGTGGCAGGACAAGTCGATGTCAAGTGTCGACCTCTTTGAGTGGTGCTGGGTAGGGGCTTAGGGGCACGTCTTGTAGAAGGGTGATTTATTGTTAATGAAGCAAATACATATATTGATGGTATGTTTAATAAGCAACTAGCACTATGTATGTATGTTGCTATGGCCAGGTGCATAATGCAGTTTTTTCGAATTAATATACCTAGTATTTCGATCTTTTTTACACTGAACAAAATTTAATAGCAATGTTACTTTACGTTGTTCAGTGTAATGTGCAAATCTACTGCCTGAGTGTATAGTCAGAGCACATTGCTGCTATGCTACAATACATACAATCATGTCGTTCGCAGGCCTTGCAACCAATATGAAAATTAACCTACTTACCTGTCACGGTTAGTGAAATTACTGAAGTGTTTCAGTTTTCAGTTATTTAATACAGTATTAGAATTTTTTACCCTCATACACATTTATTTACATTTAAGTTCGATCTGCAATGGCAATAGGCTCACCCCCTCTTACATGGGACTCATAACATAAATAGTGAATAGTGGGTGTTACATTGTACAGTGGCATAATGTACACCTCTGCCTATCCCTTCGGGGATAAAAGGCGTGATGTTATGTTTATGTAAGTTCGGTCTGCATAGTTTAATACACATAATATTGACTAGATGTCACTAGTTGTAACTATACAAAGAGTCGCTTCGATTCGATCTCTTCAAAACCACATTACCGAGATAGGTACTGGAACAGCTATAACTGTGGGAGTGACTTACCAGAGTCCGTATATGGATGGGATGGTGAGCGCCATGAGCGTGGCGAGCGCGCCCACCACCAGGATGGAGACGCGCATTACCCAGATGATCTCCATCTCCGACGCATTCTGCCGGAAGATCAGCTTGTACACGTTCCTGGGGGAGAAAAACTGGTTCATGGACCTGCGCTACCACACTTCAATATCATACATCGGCACCATCTTGAAATTGGTATCCGAAATAACATGTAAACAAATAACATCGACCCGAGGCAATATTTTCAGGTATAAAACAGTGACTGTAGTAAAAGAACCAGAAGGTACAATGTAATGAAACGTTGCGTCGTCTGAACGTTTGATCGATCGATCCTCACCTCACGTTCTGTCTTAACGTCTCTGGTAATAATAAAAAACTACTTTATTCCGTGCGGGCCGTAAATGGTAAGAGGTTAGGGTTCCCGGTAGTCACACTATCTATGTGATAGGTATATGTACTTGCGAATAATATTAAAGTACAGTTAATGATGTTCTTAACGATTAGGTAATAGTAACTGTCTTATTCATTATCTATTTTTTTCATTCAACCTATAAGAAAACACGTTTGTAGTATACTCCATACGTCTATGTACGTAATACAAAACCAGTAAACAGGATAACTATAAATAAACACTAATGTGCGCAGTTCAACATAAGATTATTAATAGGTACTTCTATGCTCTTATCAGTATACCTACTGTAGCAACTGTTGACAAAACAACATTCAAAAACCCAACGACAATGTTAAATGAACTAGGTATATGAAATAGAATATATCCTCTTACCTGGCGAACATAGAACTGGCACTGAGCACGCTGGAGTCTGCTGACGACATGACGGCTGCGGAAACAGCTCCCAGCCCGAAGAAGGACACGAAGTCTGGCGTCAGATGCTGCAGCACCAGAGGCAGGATCATTGATGTCTGATCTGACGTCAGCTCGCCGTCAGCTGTCAGCTCGCCGCGGTAGTCCGTCTCATTCCACGCTAAGAAGGGGGCATTCAATGGTATTTTATGTGATTCAGTTACCTGCTGGATTAAACTCTACACAGTTGGTACAGCGGCTGTTGCACAATATGTCACATAATTGAATCCAAATCGGAATAACTACTGATGTAATCTACAAACTAATGTTTTCAAGTCTTGGTGTGATGTGTTACTGAAGACTTGAAGTTGGGCAACAATTTGTAACAAACTGTACTAAGTACATAACTCTTATGTAACGGTTACGCTATAATGCAATGAACTCACCAGTGCCCTTGGCGATGGCTCCAATGAGTACTGGTGGGATGGCCATGATGATGCAGCCAAAGGCGGCCACGTACGACAGGATCTGAGCACGCCCGGCCGTCTTACTGCTCAGCACGCGTTGGAAGTATACCTAGGGAGAAGAAACATAATGCACTCAACCAGCCACTTAACTATGAACCTCCAACTGAACCAATTGAAATGCTGACCTGCCACGGGATCCCTCCGAAGACGAGCAGCAGTCCGTAGTCGATGTAGAACCAGTAGTAGTTGGACTCCACCTTGCCGATCCAGTCCACCTCCATGGAGCTGAGTGGCTTCACGTGCTCGTTGGCCCACGCGAACGGTATGCACATCCACAGACCTAACCAAGAGAGTGTGATGATAGAGAGAATGACGAAGAATCATACTAAGTATTAACACCTCTTTTCGCCAGTTATTGTGCTGAAACCATTATGACGTGAAAGACACTGCTACATCCTTAGTAGTTACTGCAACATTTAATTTTAACATCATTGATAATGATAATATGATTTCATTTGTTTACATTAGAAGAAATAAACGATAGTTAAAAAAAACAGAATAAACACGATTGAATTCTCATTGAATTGGTTAATGCATAGCATAGAATAAGAGATGGCACCACACGTCTAAATAGACGTTCAACAAAATATATAGACTTCATTACTGGAACGATCACATTAACTAGGCCGGTGCTATTACTTACCGATGAAGATGCAGAACAGTTGTATGACGTCAGTATACGCGACGGAGTACAGGCCCCCGAACAGCGTGTAGAAGACGGCCACACACGCGGAGAATATCACCGAGGTGCGTTGGTCCATGTCGATGATCACTGCCAGCGTTGCACCTGGTACAATACACACACTTATGTACTTGACCTTTTACCACCCAGGTTGGAGACGGTACTGAGTTTTAACCAGGTGTCAGGCCCTCCGCAACCCTACGTATTGTTATTAGATAACTGATCTGATGTTTTGAGATACCCCTACAAAACTACATAGCTGAAGACAAATATCATGTACATACATACCTATGTGTAAGTTTCAGTGACAACTAGGATTAAATCTTTAACGTTAATTTTAATAAAAACCTAGCAAAACCTAGCCTGGGAAATCGAACCCATATTATTACTTATAACCCAGCCAAGTCAACTGATAGCGTGAATATCAATTTTCAGAGACTGATCAAAACAATACTTTGAAATCTCCAAGTTAAACAATACCCGAATTACACCGTAACAAATACTAAAGTAAACAATACCTAGTACTCAATCACAATTACTTACTTACATTGTACACAGTACACAGTACACACACTAGATTTCCCCAGAGTACAAGTTGTTGTTTGAATAAAATATACCTCGTTATACAATTAAGTTTATTCAAATAGGAGAATATTTCTTTTTATACAATTACAGTGGAATAATTTTGTAATCAGTTGGTACATGGCGCGAGGGTGGGGTGGAGTTCATAAGTAATAGACCATACTACAACGATGTGTGAGGATAACAAACTGAATGACGTCACGCACTGAAACACGAAGACCAAGGGTAACTAGCAAGCTCATCATTTCAAATTGTCTACCCATTTATAACGGATATCATTTTAAACTGGTACCAATGTGTTAAAATTCTGCACCATTTTAATCGATCAATAGTTAAAGTACCTTTGAATTTGAGTCTGTATATAAGTGGCTACATACAACAGATAATTCAATAACTTTAATGACGAATAACACATGTTGATGATGACGATAATGATGTACTTGTTTATGAAGTGACTGTTTATTATCACGTTGGGTTTTCCTATCAATACCTAAATTCTAGTTAATAGTAATAAACTCTTGACTTCCAGGAAAAAGGAATATCGATCAATATGTAGGCAAACACACCGCGCTTGTAATAAGGTGTTGGCAAGTTATCGACATAGCCCAAAGGATTAGCACGCTGAAGTGGCAGTGGGACGGTCACATTTGTCGGTAAACCGTGTGTTCTTGAGTGGAAATCATTGTTAATGTGGGAGACTACGAGGGTAATCTACAAATTCTGGGCCCAAATAAAAACCTAATCGTACTATTTTGTTTTTAATTATATGCTTTAAACTGTCAAACACCAAGCGGTCACCGGTGACCGCAACCTATTGTTCTTTAATTGTGTCTATAAATACGGTACTCGACGAGTTAAATCGTAATTTAACGTAATTTTAAGTGCACAATCAATATCAATCCAATGAATATAATTACATTTCCATGAAATGATAGTGTCCGTCACTAAACGTTACACAGAAGCAACGATAATATGTTGATAATGATAGATAGCCGGTGCCCTACAAACCTACTTCACGCACCCCTGACCTTTCTCTCCTAGTTCGTCACTTATGTTCTTCAGAACTAGTTACGAAATCATGATTAAGTACGTTCAAATTAAAGTTTTTATAGTGTTTGACAAATAAAATATATACTTTTACGGCGGTAGGCCGTAAGATATTTGTCATTAAATATTTTAACAAATACCTCCATATAAACTTGCTAACTTTGTCGTTATAAATTATTTATTATTAATGTTAAAATCCTAAAATTGTGACCGCTATTACAACCTCTTGTTGCACCTGGACAAATCAAAAATGTAATAGTAGTTTAAGTATTTATTTCTGTACAAGTGATTTGTAACCTTTTAGAAATAAATGAGTTCAAACCGTAAATCCGTAAATATATACTTTTCATTATTAGACGAGATTTAATCTCTGGTAGGTCAGAGCGTAGATCTACGCGAGACACAATGCTTTTTCTGTTGTGTCTTAAATACCGACGTACCAGAGGTTATTAGTCTTTATATATGTCGTGTAAGTATAACATATATAGAACACTTGCTTTCGTAGGTAATTGTATCAACGGAACATCTGCAACGAAATCAATATTAAAGTAGTAACACCTAATATCTAACAAAGCATTTAAAAAAAGTTTGATAAAAGAAATCCATAAATTTACAATCAGACAATCAGTTACATAAGCGTGACAATTTGGCTCGTCTTCTAAAAATATCGGTTCAGTGGATCCTATATTCCCACGCGGTATCGATCCGGCTCGACTGGGCTCAAGCCCGGCAGCCGACGTGACGTGACATTGTCGCGAACCCTGCCAGGGTACAGCCCTGGCTCACGCGGCACTTACAGAACGAATTTATTTGAAATGTAACATTATGTCAATTGTCAACCCTTTTACTCCTCGAAGGGTGTAAGAGTCTGCATATGAAATTAATGTAGCATGTACTTTTTACCTGCTATGTCATGAGTACTAAGTCCTATGGCATTGGGAATAAGGTACAATTTCGTATTCATTTTGGCAATTTGGAAAACCGAAATAACTTAAGTATCAAACCCAGAACAGGCTCACAATAGGCTCACCCCCTATTACATGGGACTCATAACATAAATAGTGAAAAGTGGGTGTTACATTGTGCACCTCTGCCTCTCTCTCTCTCTCTCTCTCGGAAGGGATCTTCCGGGATAAAAGGCGTGACGTTATGTAATGTTTCAAACCCAAAACCCTTTGCTTGGCGATTACATTTACCAAATTACTATAATAGTCATTTTTAAATTATTGCGATATAATCATAGATACTTATATTTTTAATATTTCTGTGGTTATAATGTACCTATACAAGCATACACACGTGTATTAATAATCATGTTGTCAGATTCTGATGAAGTACTCAAAACTAAAACTTCATTTGTGATTAACAAGTATAAACTATTTCCAGTTATTAGTATTGTTTGTCCGTGTAATTACCGTCAACTATGTATAAACAGTACGTAAACATACATGACCGTGTATCGTTTAATTGGTCTTTTTTGTTCAATCAAAAGCGTGACTATTAAATTGCTCATCACATTTGGGAAAATCGTGATTATATATTTTTATAAATGAAGTAAGACCCACAATCTAAAGTAAAAGGTCTCATTGATCATCACCATTTTCTGTCTGTCTCATCATCACTCAGCTCTGAATACACCTACTACCGAACAAAAGGAAATAGCTATTTCCTAGCGGTTGCACCCGCTCTGCTCGGCTCCTGTTCCTAGCGTGGTGTGACACGCCTATGGCCTAAAGCCGATATGCCTATAGCTTTCCTCGATAAATGGGCTACCCAAGACGAAAATAATATGTGGTTGGCTAATCTCTGAAATGGCTATACCGATATTGACGAAAATTTTACTGGCAGGTAGTTGATGTACTAAAAAGTAACACAGGCTTATTTTTATTTTGAAAAACTGAAACAAAAACAAATTATGTCCTAAAATTTATATTCTAAGAAGTCGCAGGCAATACATAGGTACTTATACCTATAATATAATGTTTAAGAATTTATGTACCAAACTCTTTCCTCAAAGTCATGTAAATCTCAGTGCTCCCCAAAGTAGATGAGCCGTTTTTTTTTTTTTTTTTTTTTTTAAGGGGGGAAAATCATCGAATGACTGCTCCCGCCTGGGTGAGGCGGAAGGGAGTGTCAGACTCTTACTGACTAAAAACCACCCCGTTCCTTCTCCTGCACGTCGAGCCGGAGCCCCGGTTACCCGTTAGGTTCTCCGCGACTCCGAATCGGCATCGGCCCTATTGGGCCCCATCTGTGGTGGTCTGATGGCTCTTTGAGGCGCGCGCGGAACGCGACGCGCCGTACGCTCGGGTCTGTTTCTGGTCGGACGGGGAGCCACCCATGCTCGCCGTCCGCAGGCCCGCGCTTACGGTGGCCGGAGATCGTCCCGCGATCCCCGACGCCCGGTGTGTCCTTCGCGATGGCTGGGTCGCGAGGAGGCAGCGCTTCGCTGCCTCACGCGTCCCGCCTCCTCCTTAGCTAGCATGACTGCTTCGCAAAAGGAGGAGACGGCATCCCAGTCCCCCTCGCTCCGCATCATGGCCTGCACTAGGCCCGGACGCGAGAGGTCGCCATCGCCGATCACTTCCCTGAGGGCACGGCGGTGCTCAGCCCACGCAGGGCATTCCGCTACGGTGTGTTCCACCGTGTCCTCAGGGCGGTCCTCGCAGTGATGACACCCGGGCGTTTCCTCCCGCCCCATCAGACACAGGTACCTCCCGAAACTTCCATGTCCGGTGAGGACCTGCGTCAGGCGGTAGGTGAGGACGCCGTAGCGTCTCTCAAGCCACTCCTCAAAGAGGGGACTTACCGCTGCAATGGCAGCGAGCCCAGCCCTCGGTTGCGACAGTCGTTGCTGCCATTCCGCCATGAGATCGCGCCGGAGCTCATCCCGCCACGCACTTATCTGGCGCGGCAGCGGAGTTTCGCCCCGGCGACGTGCCTCCGCGCGCATGTTATACACGCGCGCGAGCACCTTCGCCTCCAGATCCCACGGCGGTAATCCGGCAAGGAGGTTCGCCGACTCCCCAGCGATCGTGCGGTATCCGCGGATCATTCGGATCGCCATGACCCTCTGTGACTTGAGCAGCGTCCGAGCAGGACGCCGCAACAAGTTCGGCGCCCAAACAGGGGCGCCGTAGAGGGCCATGGACCGCACGACCCCGGCGTATAACCTCCGGCAGGAGGCGTTTGGCCCCCCGAGGTTGGGGAGGATGCGTTTGAACGCAGCCCCCGTCCTCTCCAACTTTGGAGCCAAACGTCGGAAATGCTCTATGAAGTTCCACCGACTGTCGAGGACGAGTCCTAGGTACTTCATCGCCGTCTCGACGCCGATGGTAACCCCTCCCGCCGTTATTTGGGACCCACCCGGAGGTGGCGCGTTCCCGCGGCCATGAAAACACATGGCCTCGGACTTGTGGAGCGCCACCTCGAGTCCCAACTGCCGGATTCTTTCAACGACTGTCGCAACCGCTGTC